TGTTGGTGTTCCTTGCCTCAAGGGCACACTGCTGCTCATGCTGAGCTTGGTGTCCAACAGGACCTCCAGGGACTTCTGCTAAACTGCTTTCCAGCCAGATAGTCTTGGTGCACGCAGCTACTTACCCCACCCCCCCGGGGCAGAACTTCACAGGATTCCCATCAGCCCATTTCTTCAGCCTCTCAAGGTCCTCCTGAATGGCAGCACCATCATGTGGCATATCAGCCACTCCTCCCAGTTCTGTATGGTCTGCAAACTTGCTGAAGGTACACTCAGTCCCACCCTCCAAATCATTAATGAAGATGTTAAACAGTCCTGGCCCTACTACCAATCCCTGGGGTACACCCCTAGGGACCAATTTCCAACTGGATTGAGTGCTGCTGACCACAACCCTGTTTGTCCAGCAGCTCAGCCTGTTTTCAGTTAATCTCATTGTTCGTTTATTGAATCCACACTTCATCAGTTTGTCAATGAGTATATTATGGGAGACAGTGTCAAAAGCCTTACTAAAGTAGAGATAAATCCATCCAGTGCTTCCCCCTTATCAGCCAAGCTAGCCATCTCATCAGGTTCGTCAAGCATGACTTCACCTTCATAAATCCATGATGACTACTCCCAGTCACCCTCTTGTCCTTTATGTGTTTGGAAAGAGTTTCCAGGATTATTTGTTCCATCACCTTCCTAGGGCCTGATGCAAGGCTGATCACCTAGAGTTCCCCAGATTCTCCTCAATGTGCTTCTTGAAGACAGTGCTGACAATTACTTTCTTCCAGTCCTCATGAATCTCCCTCAATTGCCGTGACCTTTCAAAGATAATCAACAGTGGCCCAGCACTGGCATCAGCCAGCTCATTCAGCACTTGCTAGTACATCCCACCCAGTCCCATGGACTTGTGTATGTCCTGGTCAAGCATTCTATTATCTGATCCTCCTCCACTAAGAGTAAGTCTTCCTTGCTCCAGACTTTACCACTGATCTCAGGGGCCTGAGATTGCTGAAGGTAAACTTTACCAGTAAAGACCATGAAGGCGGCAGCAAGCACCTCAGAGTCATTTCCCCATCCCTTGTCACAAGATCCTCCTGCCCCATTCAGCAGTGGATCCAAGTTTTCTCTCATTTATGTTTAGAAGCCCTTTTTTTCACCTCCACATTACTTGTCAGATTCTGGGTGGGCTTTGGCTTCCCTAATCCTATCCTTGAACAAGCAGCATCTCCGTATGCCTCCTGGGTCACCTGTCCCTGCTTCCGACTCTTCCACACTTTTTATGGAAACGACCAGGTCATAAAGAGAACGGCACTCAGTGCTTGCTCCATTTCAGTACCCCCATCCTAAGCAGTATTCAGTTTCAGGTGTTTCAGTTTATTGCCCAGAGGGCTTCTGGGGGTATGGTGTGAAAACCTGACTCCTAATCAAAGGAAGTGCAGTCTTAAATAAGCAAGCTTGGCTGAAGCACTTTATACTTCACGATGACCTTCACTGGACGGATTTTGAAAGCACTTTGCAAACATAGTCTTATCTTTTAATTTTCTCCACTTTCATCAGATGAAGAGATGGAAGCCCTACAGTGCTAGAGGCTATTTCAAGTTCCAAGTACGGGGCTAAGCAAGAAAAGTGATTACTGTAAATCCCAGGGTGTCCAATTTCCTATTGCTCTAGATCTTCCACTATAATGATGGTACCTTTTCATCATGGCAGTCTATTAGCATTCACTTTGAACATGACTCCACAAGAAGTCACAAAATAGTATGAGCTCATGGTAACTCAGGCTCCTAAGTTGCGTACCTGGCTTTGATACGAACTTCTTGTTTTAAATTAGATAATGAAAGGCCTCCTTGTTCCATTTCTATTCCTTGCTGATAAAACAGATTCAGGTAGATGCACAGTATGCACAACAAGGGAACATGTCCAGAGGTTTAATGACTTTCTGAAGTACTTCTGCAATCCTCCCTAGCAAGGGGTTATACAAAATGCTGAAAATGAACTGAAACAAACACTGCGTTCAGGATAACTAATTTTCTAAAAAAAAACTTATTTCCAAAAGTATGAAAGATATTGCACATTGCAATAATTTATTAATCTGCACTATTGTGTTAAACCTTGGCTCTCTCCAGCAGTGATATTTCATGAGCAGTTGGAAGACAAGTAAGTGTGTCCAGGGTCTTAAAGACAGCAAGTAAATCAGTTTAGAGGAAAGAAGTTTAATCTGTGACGAGTTTTAGATATTCAGAAAGATTAGCATTATTGGAAAAAATTCTGCAGCATCCAATAATTTTACATCAATTATGAGGTAAGCATTAATCTCAAGTTTATAAAAGCTTGTTTACCCATTCTAAAAACATAATATCTTTATGAATAATCTGAAGATCAGCAAGCAGCATTTTAGAGGTTATCAAATTGGCAGTAACTACCAAGATAGTTGAGGTAATGTAGAAGATGTGCAGAACTTAGAAATACGGACACATTAGCATAATATTCACCCAGTAGAATAGAGAAACACATCAGGGGTGGGGGGAGGAAGTCACCCCAACATAGATGTTCAGCACAAACAAGACAGGAATAAAATTGCCAAAGCACACAGGTCACTTGACAAAGCAGGCAAGGCTGAACAGGCAACCAAGCAGCAGCAGGACCCCAGCTGAGGTGCAGAAAGAGTGGAGCAGATCATCTCTCCCACACACACCGCAGGTGCCCCTAACCACTAAGTACACCATAATGCTGGTTCCCATCTCTTCCCTTGAAACCCTAGTATCAAAGATGCATCAAGTTAAAGTGAAAACAGCAATCCAGACTCAGCAGTTTTGTCTTAGGGACTTAACTCTGAGACAAGCTTAAAGCTAGCCAGAAAGTTAATAGGTTGTGACAGTTGACCTGACATTTCCCCGCACGCATACATCCCACCACCAAACTGGTACATTTCCAAGCATCTGTCCCACTCAACTGTAAAAGCCATGAAGTGCTACAGCAGGTTGCCAAGGGCATCTGTGTCTAGATGTTGGCAGGATGGGACTGCAGGGTGGCCTCTGTCAGGAGAGGCTGGAGCTGCCCCATTGCTGGGCACAGCTGGTTCCAATGGACCCACCACTGAGCCCCTCAGCCATGATGGTTGCTGCCTCAGGGGAAATGTAAGAAGGCACCAAACACTGCCTGCCAGTGCAGAGTGAGGGGAAAAACAAGTGTGAGAAACAGCTCTGTGAGCACAGAGGTCAGAGAAGATGAAGGGGAGGAGGCAATGCAGGCACCAGAGCAGAGACTTCCTTGCAGCCCTCAAAGGTATCATGGTGGATGTGATGAGCTGACCTCAGCCAGCTGCCAAAAGCCCACCCAGCCACTCCCCCTCCTCAACATGATGGGGGAGAAAATGAGATGGAAAAGCTCATTGGTCAGGATAAAGACAGTAACTGGGAGAGGTAATGGGCAAAACCGGGACTGCCTGTGGCCACAGAGGGCAATAATTGTGGGGAATCTTTTGTGGTTGTAAAGCAGTGAAGGGACAAGAGATGGAGCTTTATTGTGTGCGTAAATTGTCCACTTTTGTCAGTGTTGTGATGACATTTTGATTTTGGTGCGAGGATTTCACCCCCCACACACACCACTACCCCTTCAAACAATGACAGTTTAATAAGCAAAGCAAATGCTGCAAGCACAAGCAAAGCAAAATAAGGAATTTATTCACTGCTTCCCATCAGCAGGCAGATGCCCAGCTACTTCTTGGAAAGCAGGGCCTCAGCACACATAACCATCACTCAGGAAGACAAACATCATTACCATGAGTGTCCTCCACCCACTTCTTCCCCCTTTCCCTGAGCTTTCACTGCTGACCACAATGTCCTATGGTAGAGAACATCCCTTTGGTCACATCAGGTCAGCTGTCCCATTTATGTTGCCTCCCAACCTCCTGCAGAACCCCAGCCTACTGGCCTCAGGCAGGGCACAGGCTGGAGCAAGAGCTTTGATGCTGGGCAAGCACCGTTCAGCAACAGCCGAACCACTGGTGCACTATCAACGCTTTAACCATAGATATGAAGAACAGCACCATACAGGCTGCTAGGAAGAAAGTTACCTCCATTCCAGCCAGATGCAGTACAACCTCCACCCCTTACTCCATTCCATTTGCATCATGTCCAGCTCCCACATTAGCCAATACATCTAAGCATCCTTTGACCATCCTATTACTTTTCTCCCGTTCCTGAAAGCCCGTCATACCAACACTTATAACACAAACTCCACACTTAAATCACCTTTACATGCAGCATTCAGATTTATACATCCTCACTGAACCAGTATCATCTATCCCTTAAAACAGTGGCCAAAGCCAATTTGCCACACCAAGGTAGCGAGTCAAACTGTTTCATTTAGACTTCAAAACATCGGAAGGTCCTTCACAAAGAACAAGCTGTACAAGACACTGCTTTCAAAGGCAGAACAGCAGACGAAGCCATCCAATACACATTGCTTTCAAGTGGCACCCAGTGTACATAAGGATGTAAAATTTAAAAGGTGACATTCAGTCCTTTAGAGAAAAAAAAAGGTTTTGCAATCACTGACAATGCCTTCATCTTGCAGCATGCTGAGAAACAAGTTTATCTCAGGAAGCAGCACAAAACACTTTCACTTTAGACCTTTTTGCCTTCAGCTGCTCCAGAACAACCTACCATCTAGCTTTGCTAGTTTTAGCTCAGTTTTCAAACTACACCATTATTATTGTTAGATAGTCTTCAGCAAGCACCACGCTACTATTTTATCAATAGTCACCACTATTCAAGCAGCAAAAAAGCACAAAAATCCAAACTAAGTGCAACCCTTAAAGAACAGTCTCTTCTCTCATTTTCATTTTCTCTTGCTAAATGAGATAAGAGCGTATCATGCTGAGCCCCATTCCTACTTTATTCCGCAGAGAACTGACTGTATTCAGACCCATTTAAGCCAAATTTATCCTCACTAAGACTATACAAGGAAAACGGAGTTGGTTTAAAGCTACGCCTGTAAGGAAAGGCTCTTACCTGCGTTAGCCCAGGGGAGGTACCAGGGGCAGCTGACATTCACATAGGTGCCGGGCAGTCCGTCTGGCCAGCAGGCATAATTGTCAAATGTCCTGTTGCAGAACTTGCCTTCTGCAGAGAGATGTAAGGGAGGGTCATGCCATTGCCTTGCACTAGTGCTGCAAGGAGGAAAAGACTGAAGAGCAGAAAAGGAAAGACATGTGCATTTAAGCCACAACAACATCATACAATTAAGCTTTGGTATGGAGTTAGGCGAGATTTCCTTGTCCAAAAGTTCATCCCCACAAAAACCAGGAAACTGTTGTTTCAGGGGGGAATTGAAGAACAGATAAGGGTCTTTGACTAAACCAAGGTATGAGAAACTCAAACTAAAACGCCATCTACAATACTAATCCATTCTCATCTTTTCTTTTACATTCTTAAGTGTCTCAGTTTAATTAAAAATAATTTTGCTACAAAAACTGTAATTATTTCCAAGAATGGTTCAGAGTTGTGCAGTTGGAAAATCTAGCCTAATATATAGATCCATCAACGAAATACTCACACACGACCGTAACTTTGCATTACAGCTTAATCAACATGAGAATACTTCAGATTTATTAGACTGTCATTGTTAGAGGGCAGCACTCAGCAGGATAATAGAGCAGAGGAGATGAATGTTTCCCTGCCACTGCTGTCACCAGCTACTGCTCTCACCCTGCCATAATAATGTAGTTAAGTGAAGGAAAATTAACAGTTTTGAAATAATTCTTCACAGACACAACTTTAGACCCATCTTATCTCTCAGTGTGTCACAAAAGCACTGAGGCATAGGAGAGGCTGCACTGTGCCCAGTTGTGAGCGTCACTGACAAATCACCAGTGTCCTCTAAACACCATGATGCTGGCACACCACAGCTGCTCTCAGCACATTACAGCAGCTCATCTGCTAAGACAAGCTGCATTCTCATTTTCACTAAGGCTTTTTTCGGGGTTTTTTTTTTTTTTGGTTGGTTGGTTTGTTGTGGGTTTGGGGTTTTTTTTTGCCCTTTGGTTTGTTTTTGATTTTTTTTTTTTTAAAGCCATTTCAGCATTTTGCAATGCTCAAATTAATTTATACCAACTTTAAGGCCCACAAAGTGCTAGGTCAATGTGAACAGCATAGTCACAGGTTTCCTAACACCTGTGCGCTCTCTCAACCTTGAACCCTAAAAAAGTCTCAGGGGTATTACATTAGTGTGCTGCTTTGACGGGCTACAGCCACCACAAACCACTCTGGACATAAAGACGAGCATCTTTACAATGAAATTGTTCTAGAAAATGCTTCCTCAGCAGAGAGGAGAGTCCCACAGAGAGCAAATGGGATAAAGAAGAAATGGACTGGAAAGTAAGACGGAGAAGTATTTTCAAGTTCTCATTTCATCACTCCCTTGCTACTGTTATCAGGCATTGTACAAATTAATACATTCTATCCCCACCAAGTGGGCTTACCTGCCGCAATGGGGGGTGCCTCGTACAAGTATTTCAGGCATTGGAGCTGATACTCCTTCCACTTCTGCATAACCCCAGAGAGGGACCCATCTGAACTCTGAAAGAGAAATAACAAGTCTCAGACACTGCAAGGATTTAAACTGAATGCTTTCATGCAGCCTGGGTAGAGGAGTGTGAAAATGACCACTAGAAGCCACAACAGCACTGCTTAGCATAAGGGGTACAAGATGCTGCTACGTGTTTGCATAGCACACCAAAGAACTGCAAAGAAATACCTTTGTGCCACAAGGAACTGAAAAGAAGACACAAGCAACTATACCATGCCCTCACTGAAACCCAAACTGAGCTAGCCTTGCTCTCTTGGACACATCCCAATTGTGGGATTTATTATCTCACAAAAAGACAGGGACAGCAGCAAGTCCTTCGGGGAGAGGTTTTCTTTCCAACAGCAGTATTTCTGCTATCCCATAAATGAAACCAAGCTAATTCACTGTATTCAGCAGATATTCCCCAAGCATTCTTACAGAACACGGATAAAAGCTTTTCCAGCTCAGCTTTTCTTCCATGAACAGCAGCTTTTCCCCACATCCAGCATATTTTTCCCGAAACCACAGAAAGAGCAGGTACCTCCTTTTTTTGCACAGTTTGACAGGCTGCAGATGCCACCATCAGCTACCCCAAGTGCTGAGGGGGCAGGGGAAAGTACACACAAACTCTTCTGAGCACAAAGGAAATTAACTGTTACTGAACTGAAAAATTTCGCGCTGGCTGCTTGCTCAAACCTAGCAGATGCCTCACCTGGCTCAGAGGCCCAGCTTACTCACTGCATCTAATTAAAGAGACATTAGTCCTCCTCTCCTCTCTCCACATTCATATAAACTGAATTACAAGTGTCAGGATTAGCAGGCTGCAATAACGCAGCTCACTCTGCATTCTTTTTCCAGAGGAAGGCCCAGCACAGATGTCTCAGATACAGTCAACAGCATAAACCTAATGGTACAACACACTAACACTGAGTGGAGGAAAACTCATTTAATCCCAGCTGATTAAAAGGAACCCGGGGCACACGAAGGATTGTTTTAAAACAGAGTAGTAATTCTGGCTTTCAGGAAAGGCGAACTGAATGCTTTCCACTACAACCGATGTGACTAAAATTTAGACACCAGTGCAATCACCTTGGTCTAAAAGAAGTAGAATTGGCATTTTTGGACTACAGACCTCTCTAGTCCTCTCCTCTTGTATCCTTCCAATTAACAAAGTTGTTTGCTTTTTAAACAACACATGCATCATGCTTCTGCCCAGATTAAGACACTACATTTAATTACAAGATGCCCTTGTACACGCAAGTAGTACAACATTTAGTAGATACCTGTATCGTGTTGCAAGAATAACTGCCTGTATTTACATGCAACTTAACTGTAGCTAGTGCCTCATAGCCATAATTTTAAAGAGTTTAGCCAGCTCCCCCTGAAGTCAAAAGATGCACAAGCTTGTGGATCTTTGAAATTCAGACCCTTGTGTGCCTGATTTAAATCATTTTATCTATGCCAATAAATGCTGCCAAAGTCTGTCTGCGCTGAAGTCCCTAGTGTAAAATGAATGCATCCCACTGAAGTTTAACCCCATGTGTCTACGGAAACACACAAACCTGTAGCATAGTGATCTATGCTCAGCATACCTGAAGGAGAACAAACCCATCACGACCGAAATTAGGTCTACAGGTGTGTGTAGAGAAACACATAACCAGTAACTCAAACTAAAATGCCATCTACAGATCCATGTCGGCTGAATAAGGATGGATGACCAGAATATGGGGAGAGAAAAACACTTTCAAACCTAACACTTCCCTCAAGCAGTCTTTAAAAAGTAACTTTCAGGTTACACATCGTTTAAAAGGTCTTCATTTTACAAGGGTGGTTACTGAAGTTATACAGGACTGTTTCACCCCCCCTCTCATCACCAGGTTAAGACTTTAATAAAGGAATTAGAAGGAACATTCAAGATAAACTCAAATTATGGCTCATAATAATTTCAGAAGCTACTAAGTGTCACACATCTTCCCAAGAAGTAACTATTGATCATGCATGCAGATGACCCCATCAAGTTAATCCAAATTCACCCATTAAAATTATGACAAGATAAAAGATGCAGTTTCATTTAGAATCAAGACTACCTTTGAAAATACCCTGAAAACATCCTAAAACTGCTTGCACTAGGAAAATTAGCTCTTTTGGAGTCAGCAAGCCTCGAAGTATTTTCTTCTAAATCAAGTTTTCATGTATTGCTTTCATGAATGCAAGAACAACCAACTTTAATTACATCTTAGAAAAAGCAAGCCTCTATCCCTCCATTTAATGAAAAAGTAGAAGCATTCTACTTATATTGGTTTCTCATAGTGTGAGAAGACAACTCTAATCAGGAGATTAGCAAACTACAAGAGTAAAATAATTAGACATGCCTTTTTGTGGTGATGACTGATTTGGTAGACAATTGGCTATTATCTGCCGTCTGTTGCACTAAGACAATCAAATATAAATTCCAAGACTACTTAATTTGTTCACTCTATGCCACAGTTTACTCTGGTTCAGCTAAATACCATGTTTGGTATCAGACAAATTGACTTACATTTTATTTTAATACATACTAATCCCCATTTCCCAGAGATTTTGGCCCACACGAACAAGAATCACAAGTTATACAGCGCCAGATTTACAATGTGAGTAGTTACTCAAATAAGAGGTACTGTATTTTCTTGAAAAGTGATTCAATACCTTCTGCAACACCAAAGCACTGAACACACATAGACAAGGACAAGGTTCTTGAGTGAGTACCCAAATTTTGGGTCAAATTACAAAAGTTCAAATAGATTTCTTACACTCAGGATTATACTGTTGTTGCTAAAAGCACTGGTTCTTGCATTTTAGTTCTGTGTTTTGGTTTTGTTTTGGTTTTTCCCAGCTATACTCAACCATGGGAGGAAAAACAGCAGTAGTTTTGCTGTGGTGAAAATGTATCACAGAAGGACAGCGGAGGAGAAGAGGGTGGAAACAAGGCTAAGTGGTTAAGGTAGAGAAGTCAGAAGGCAAGAATGGATGATGAAGGACATTAAAGAAATGAGTAATGGCACAGCATAAGGAACATAAAATGGAAGCAGAAAAATTAAGACAGGCCAGAGCACAGAGACTGGGAGCCTTTCAGTGTATGTATATAATTCAGTATCATTAATCTCCAGTGATAAATTAGCTCGTTCAACAGTCTGAAGACAGAATTCCTTACAAATCCTTAGCACCTTCATAGGAAAGTCTCCTTCTGTGGCCATCATTTGTCTTCACAGACCCTACTGTAAAAGGAAGCATTTTAATCACTTTTCAACACATCTTTGAAACTCCTGCTGCTGCAACAAAAACAGCATCCACACGGATCCAAGGTGATCAATGCTACAAAAGCACCATTCTAATACAGCGAAAGCCGAGCACACAAAGTATAAACCCTCAGAGGACTCAGATGGGACAAAACACACCATGGAACAGCATCATTCAGAGTGGAAGGGAGAATTCTTGGAGCTTTCAAAGCAGCCAGTGACTCCTGGGGTTATCTTCCCTCTTCTCCCATCACCATATAAAAGTACATGCATCAGAATGAGAAATTCCTCCTCACATTTGTATTTCTTACATCTTCGGTTGTCTGTTTTTCAATGGGAATACTTACGTCACAGCTTTTTCATGCTTTTAACATTGCAGGATAATAAGCAAGACTTCAACTTGCTTAAGCTAAAGGCTCACGTGTAACGTTACAACCACTGGGACCACCAAAATGCTCATCTTCATCTCCAAAAGTAAAAGCTGGGCAACCTGGCACTAAACCATGCATTGGTATGGCCTTGGTATTCTTCCCCTCAGACATTAACAATGACAGATCTACCTCAGGAGAGGAGGGTTCAGCTTACATTTACTGCCTTTTATCCCAGAAGCACCAGGCAGTTACTTTTAAACTTTACTGCCCTTTTTGAGAAGCCCAATGTGACACATTAGGCTATTCTACTCAGGATCAGCACAGGAACCAAGTCCAAGATAGATGAAGATGACACATTTTTAGCTTCATGCTTACTCTGACTCAACATTCTTTCCTGTATAATATGGATCTTACTAAACCATCTGTTGTGTCAGCATAAGCTATAGATCTGCATCAATAAAAGCCAACCCAGAGTGGAAGCTAAGCTGGCCACCCAACAGGTTTATTCAATTCATAGCATGGACATCAACTGAATTTACAAGACAGTTTTGTCCTCAGTTCACTGCCCAAATGGGGCGGAGCACAACACTGCTACCCCAGAAAGATTTGACCCAATGTCACCTTGCATTTATTGGGAGGAGACTCCTCCTGCCCAAGAATGATTTCCAGGTTTCAAACTGAAATGAATTCATTCTTGTGGGGCTTAAACACAGTCACATTCCTGAAAGCACTTTCCCACCTAACACGATGCTTTGGCTTGCCACAACAGCACCTCTAAGAACAGAATTTTAGAAACAGGCTGCAGCACAGCACAATTCTGCAGCAGACAGAACAAGCTTATCCCCCTTGCAATTTGTCATCACTTTTCGCCACTTCTAATTTGAAGGAAATACGAAAGCATATGAATGACAGGATGCTTTTACTACTTCCTAAGCCCATCCATTAAGATCTAATTTCTCATTAGTTACCATAAATTTGTCAAAAGAGTCCTGCAAATGTTGATGCTCCAACCACCAGTTTGTAAGAACACTTAACTGTTGCGGGGGAAAAAAAAACCACAACACTACACCAAAACACCCAACACTGAGCTTCATCGTAATAGAGTCCTTCGACCCACTGTTCACCCCATGACAGAGCAGTCCTGTTGAGGATCAGTCCTTCAGGTACAATGATCCCTGAAAACCAAAAGAGATTTTGGAAACGCATTAGTATGGGAGCAGGCTTTCTTCTTTGAACTCCCCCCCCCTCACTCCCCAAAACCAGATGAGATTTATCCTGATTTTATAACTACTTAGTTCAGCTTCTGTGTAATGAGCTAATCTGAATCCATTACAGGCAACACCTCCAACAGTCCATCTCCTTTAA